CGCCTCCCTGTGTCGGAGGCTCCCCGCTCTCACCCTCCTTCCCGGGAAAATCCCGTATAGCCTAAACGGCGAGATAGGAAAGAACAAAAAAAAAAAAAAGATATGTGAGTACTTAATCTTTATCAAATAGATTAGCAACGTTATTCCGATAAACATCTACGCTGAACTAAAAAAGTGGAACATTATTGAGATTTGAGGTTTTTAAATAACAAGAAGATGGCCTTGAGATCTCCTTTTGTAAACACATTTTTAGAGTGCTACAAGTCGGTAGATTCTCAACAAGTGGTTTCATGTTATTATACTCTTGTGTTCACATTTACTGAACATCCCTTTTTTTTTTTTTGGAATACAGTTGTAAATATCATAAATAAAAAAAAATTAATTTTTCATTATTTTTTTAAAAATTCTCTGATCATATTCTATCAAGTTAATAATGTAATTAAATTAATAGAAGTAAAATTATTATTAAATTTGTGGCTGTATAATTGGCCACCGTATGTAGAAAAGTAAGTTAAATGTACAGAATTTACGAATTATGTACCGATCATTTCTTAATACAGCAAGACCTGGTTTATATTCGACAGACTTTATTACTAATTCACTGGAGTTGATGATCAAAGCGAATAGATTAAACAAAATATACCTAAGAAAGAAAAGAAGCAAGGCATTGTAAATGATCTTGGAAAGTAAATGCTATGTTACTATGTTTTGTTAGTGGTTATTATATCCAACATATTTTTAAAGAGGGCAAACAAAATAAATAAATAATAAAAATGATTATTCCTCCTATAGTTAGAAGACCGCCTTCATTCAAGAATTTTCTACCAGAAGTTTGTCCTGAAGATTCGAAAAAACGATTCATTGATGGAAATCTTGGCTGAAATGAAGAAGCTGAGGATAAAACGGCGACAGAGATTGCGTTTGGTTCAGACCCTCCCTTTCCGATAATGAAAAGAATCAAGAAGGAGAAAAAATGTTTAGTACCGGCACAATTAAATTTTTAATTACTGAGGAACCATTAAATTATTTTTTCTAGACCCAACATTATTCTTTACACATAAATATACAGGAACCCTTGGAAAAAAGTAAATATTTTAATTGTTTTTCGGCTGACATTCGATCCATATGCACCATTTGTTCGGGCATTTACAAGACCGGATTGCACGATCAGCTTTTAGTTAAATGTTTATTAAAAGTTAAGTTAAAAAAAAAATGTATAAATTAATTGTTTCTCGAAAATGCATTGTTATTCGGAATCATAAACCGTTCGCCAATTAAATATATATATATATATATATATATATATATATATATATATATCTGCTATGAATTTTGAATTAATTAATACTGTAAAAAAATTAATGTTTATGACGTCTCAGTTGGTCTAATATTCAGATTTTAATTAATGTATTTTATACTTTCAAACAATAGAAAGCACGTGTAGCGACCAACCAATCCTAGCCCCGACATTACAAAATCAAAATATCTTTGTAACTCGGTTTCTAACCTCATTTTTTACGTTCTAAACTCTGAACGTAATTAATTATTCATTTTTAAAAATAATTATATTCTTTCAATTTGATCACATAATGAAGAAAATGAAATAGTAAATTTCAATTTTTGCTTTATCAGCATGGATTTTGTACGTTTTCTGTGGAGGCAGCAACTACATGCTAAATACTTATTGTCCTTCAATCTTGTATTTAAAGATTGTATTTTTATTCAATACATTTGTTGCATATCCCATATCTGAAGTAGTTAGGTAACCTAAAAATATATTTTTTATTCAAAAAAAGATAATAAAAGAAGACTTGATCACTGGAACGAGCTAAGTCGGAAACAGAGGTTGCTGGAGGAAGTTGTCACCAGTTGTGCCAACTGTAGCTGCTAATGGACTATGGGTGCCACTACAACTACACTGGTCCTAACCAATTACTGTCTCTTGTTCACTTCTATTTAATTACCAACACATTTCTCAACTGGTCATCTCCTATCCATAGCGATTATGTTATTAAAAAATAATGATCATAAATAAAAAGCTTTGGAATAAATCTTCAAATTACTAATAATTATAAGAAATGCAATATATATCATAGAAGAAACGTTAAAAAATTGTATTATCGAATAAAACAGAATCTGATATAAACAAAAAATAAACCAGTGAGTGGTTCATAAGTCAGTGGTTTCACATTATTTTCAAATATTTTACTTCTTTTTAAATGTTTTTTTTTCAAGACTAATAATTTTTTTTTTAATTTTCGTTAATATAAACCCTAGTACGTTACTAGTCAGAATAAAATGTTTGAATGAAATAAAACATTTTGTGATTTAAAACGTGTACGATCACACAATCGAGTTTTATGAAGCAATCACTTTCAATGTTAATAGGTTTAATTAGTGGTAGAGAAGAAGGATACAATTTTTTTTAGAAAAAATAAATACTCAATAGCTAATTGTCATATTGAATGAGTTTATAAGCAGTTGAAAAGCTTTCAGAAAAAAACAGAACAATCTTTATATAACAGTTTTTAAAACATAAAGCACCTGACGTGGTATTATTTTAAGCTTGAGATGTAAGTCCAATAAAAGAAAAAAATATGTCTGATTTAGATACACCAACTTTTCTTTTTCTCGTTGTTATCAATATATGAAAAATTAAAGGGCTTCTAGAGAAGATTTGTGTGTTTCATAAAAATCTTGTGTCCTATTTTGGCGTGAATGATTTTCAGTTATTAAATGCAAGGTGCCTGATTTGGTAGAAAAAAACAACATTAAAATGAAATAATCAAGGAACATAATTCTGGATATACACAAAGCTCGCTAACAGATAATGAGCTTAATGTTTTATCAAGAAAGGTATCAAATTTTAGAAAACCAAAAATTTCTTAGAAACAATACAGTACGACGGGTACAACCATGAATTTTGTTTCTGAAATTGATTAACTGATGATGATTCATTAATTAATATTATCTGACAAAGATATTTTTCGATTTTTAAGATAAATAGTTGAAGAAGCAATAGATGCATTTAATTATCTGTTAATGAGCCTTGTAAAATAGCATTATCAATCTTAACCTTAAGTAAAATATGGCATTATCGGCCATTACCGATAGTTGTTGACCATAAATTACTGTCATTATTTATCTTTGAAACAGTTGCACGAATTAACTGACTTACTCACCTTGGAATGGTGATCTCACTCCCCTTCACATTAAGCGATTTTATTTTAAAATGTTCGCCATTTAATTTGAGCAAATGAACAGCATGAAAATAAATTTGTTATTATAAATTAAAAACACTGTTATTATACGTTGTTTTAATCTATATTGAGAAATGTCTTTACTCCGCAAGCTACTTTAAATAAACGTATTTAGGAAATGTGTTAATGTTAAAAACGATTGTTAGATTACTCACCATTTTCAAAGAAAAAATAATCAATACAACTAATAAAAGTACAGTCAATAAAATATAATAGTGTGCTGGGATACGCTATATTATTTGTCTATAGGAAACTAACTCTAAAATTTATCTTAAAACTATAGATTGAAACATTTATAGAAGTTTTGTGTAAAACCTTTACTTTAAAATTGCAAGAGAAAAAGTTCTACTTCTGTAATAACAGAAAAAATATGAAAATAAAGATTCCAGTTATATTGAAACTAATTAAAAATAAAAGTTAAAATTTCGTTTCAATCTCTGCACAATGGAAGCAGAACGCCTCAAAAGCTTCCAAAAAAAAATTCCTTAAATTGATTTATTTATTTTTTTTTTTTTTAATTTCTTTATTGAGTATTATAACAATCTGTCTGTTGGACATTGGTTATAGTGAGGTAGGATGACATTCACACCATATGTACAAAAAAATAAAATAAATAGAACAAAATAATAATCAAAAGTATATACAATAGACAATAAAATAAAATAACCTAAAAAAGAAGAAAATTAAAACTAAGGAAAAAAAACAAAAAACACATGCATACCTATATACAATCAGGCGAGGGAACTCCAGGAGAACCCTGCGCTACTCTCCCAACCGCGTCACTGGTACTAAAGCCAGCGGAGATTGGTCGAGAGCACTTTAGCCACATACACACATGTCTTGAGTGAAGAATCTGGCCATTGCCAGAACTCCAATTTATATAATCTACAAAAGGTCGCGAGGCCACTAATAAATAAATAAATTAAAGGGTTGATAGAATAAAAATAACAATAGACAGTTATAGATAATAAGATACAATGGATAAATAAATAAACTTTTAAAAAATAGCAATAAAATCAATAAATTTTTTTTATTTATTTATTTTTTTTATTTTAATGAAATTTACAACTGTATTATATGGAAAATCAATAAATGAATTGAAATTGATAAACAAATGAACTTTTAAAATAAAATAAATAATTAAAAAATAATAATAAATCATTAGAGATATGTTATTATTTCGTTAAAATTAATGGATATAGATTAACTATACAAGAACTTATGAAAAGTTCTTCACACTTCTCTACAAACATTTGTATTCGTCATTTATTAGAGTCCAGAAAAATTTTGCTCAAAGTTACACCCTTCTGATTTTTTTTATTTTATATAGAATTTCTCTCTAAATTCATTTAATATCTGACCTGGCTTTTTTCAGGATCTATTCCTGCCTGTTAATAATATAATAAAACTTTTATATTATTTTATAGGGCATCCAAAGATAATTTAAATAATAATTTGTTGTAAAAAATCGTTATAATATTTAATGCTATAAATTTAGCCATCTTCCCCACTGTAGTTGAATCGTCTTGATTTGATGTGGTCAGACAGACATTTAGCTGCTTGAGGTAATATCGAACTACTATTTTTTTCATTACTTACATATAAAATAATATCATTAATGAACTTAAAATTCAAATAAACTTTAAGGTATTTTAAATAAGAACCTATGTGTTATTTGGGTAAATTTACCTAAATGTTATTTGGGCCTCAAGGTTGACATAGATTGAGTAGTGAGAAGAATTAACCAATGGTTAATATTAGCTGGTTGGTATTACATTGACTTCTCAAACTGGGTAATTGTCCAGGTTTGAGAGAGCCCGGGTAGACGTTGGGCAGAGGCTGTTTGAGAAGACAGAACGCAAGGGTATTTGCCAAAGAAGACTGAGCTAGCATTGTCAAGTGGGAGTGGAATGACTGGCTAATTATCCCCATTGTGCCAGAGGGCATGTACATCAACCTCAGGAAGATCTCTGGCAAACCGGGCGATTGGTTATCTGTCTGGTCTGTCAATGGCCGGCCCTCAATCCATTCTCCTGTTGATACTGCGTCTGTTGGCGTTTCCTCATCCCCGGTATCAGCAACCGGCAGGGCTGCATTCAATGAAGGGCTCTTGCAAAAAAAAAATTAGAATAGGTTTATATTTAATTGACTGTTTGTAAATAAAATATTAAAATATATATCATAATTTATATTAATTCATGAAAAAAAAACAAAAAAAACAAAAACGGAATAACTAATTTTGACCTGAACAAGGCAAGACTATAAGTAGTTAAGTTATGATGAAAAGAGACTTAATTGACAATAAGACTTTTTAAATTAATAATTTTTGATGGATGAAAACTCCCGTGTATGCTTTAGACCACAAGATAGAAGTGAAAACATCAACAATGCGAGATTCCTTTTGCCTCTCTAACACAGCTTCTCGTTAAGATACTATTTTGAATAATAGCTCATTACAAAGAAGATGAAATGGTTAAAAATGTTCCTCGCTTATACTAATCCGAATTTTAGATTTTGAGATATTTTAGTAAAAAATGTTCCACAAAACTCGTTATAATTTGGTTTTCAACATTATCTTTTTTCATTTTTTACTTCTCTAACACAGTTTGCAGTATTCAGGTCCGATTTGTATTTTCTGAGATATTCTAATCTAAATGCAAAAAAACTTCAATTAGTCGACTCGAGCCGAATTTACCCGAATGAGCCTTATAAATCCGGGCGTGACGGCTTCGTCTCATTCACTACCCACAAAAAAAGTGCTAAGCGCTCTAAAGAAGTTTTAACTTGAAAAATTCTTACGTCTATCCCGTAATAGTTCATATATATTTTTTAATTTGTGTAGAAAATACCGAAAGAAATGTGGTTTTCTTTTTATTTTCGGAAATAACTCAAACACATGACATATCCGTAATTGATTGCCAAGACACCAAATTTAAAATTTTGTAGCGACAACAAAAATAGAAAGTTTTATACAATTATTGAATACTAGCCAACCTTTAAGTAAAGTAAGTAGGTTGAAATGGAATCAGTTTGGTTGATAAAATTTGAAGTTAAAAATATTTTCATTTGTAAACATTGTTACGTCTTCTTCATACGAATTGATATTTATTTTTTTAAAACCAGTGACCATTTTTTTTTTAAACAATAACTAAACTCATGAAATCTTGCTAAATGATTTCCAGAACTCCAAAGTTAAAATATTGAAGCAGTAACAATGAAGTTACTTTTTAAAAATTACTGAATACCAGCCCTTTGGTTACACTTTTCTTACAAATAGTTTACTAGTTTAAACTCTTAGATCCATTCAAATTTAAATAGAAAGGGTTCTTCAATGTTTAAGCTAAAATTTAATGAGAAGAGAATATGATTATTTATGATTATTTCCAAAAATAAATCTTAAATCAAGAAGCTTATTTCTGATATTGGCTGAGTTCTTTCCTCAACAGCTGATCACTTTACATTAAAGACATTTGGCTCCTGATTGAAATTGAAAACAAGTGGATATAATTTCAGGACTTGAAAGAGTTTTACTGAGTTATATTGCATTCCGCTAACTGGATATGGAGGATTTCATTAATGTTGATATAATTCCAAATTGAAATTATCGCGAAAAAAAAAGATTCTCCTAAACTCCCTGAATATGAATAGTCTTAGAATGGGCAAACTTCTGTTCAACTGGCCTGCAAGAATCAGTCTAGTCTATATTTTCTAATTTTTGTTTTAGTGCATTTTGTTGTTGAACATCATTGCTGTAGCCATTCGAATGTAAAATAAGTCAGTTCATATTTTATAAATACTGTGAAAAATATTATATCATCGGTCCGTAGAAACTGTGCTATTCTTCGGTTCATAAAACTGCCATGACCGGAATGGCTTTGTTTATGGCACCAATGATAATGAATACATTCTAACTTTGGTAAACAAATAAAACAAGATTAGATTTTTATTCAAGGTACGCTGATTTATTCTAGGTCTAATGTTCGTTTCATATTTAATATCGAATGTCTCTAACCAAAAATTGGTAGTACTTTCTTCAAGTCCTTCAATTTAACTAGTCATTCAAGTTTCGATTTCAACTACAGAATTGAAAATTTATGTAAAACTTCAATCAATGCGTTAGATGTGATAGGAATCCTCCATGTAATTAAAAATAAGTAACGAAACTCCTCTCAAACGATTGGTCCCACTAACGAGTCACTGCATTGTTAAGGATGTCCCAACTGAGGCATGTTAATTCCCCCCTTTCTTAGCCAACAGTGACATTTATTGCCTCTGCATAAGAGATAGCAATAAAATAATATTAGACAATGCTCATATATCAGTTGCCGTCCTTTGACATTATAGCCGGGTAGACATTTCATTACCATCGAGATTATCCTGGATCTTCCCTTTACCATTTTTAAAGATCCAAGAGTATTTCTCTTGTTAATCCTTGCAATCATAATCTTTTTAGGCCCTATATCAACAATGTTATACAAGCATTGATATTAAAAAGAAACTTTTAAAGAATTCATATAATACTTGTAGTATTTCCTCCGTACTTCAAATCTTGATTTTAGTTGTTTTTCATAACCCATGGTGAAGATTACCGATTAAGTTAATATATATTTTAACTCTAAAGCAATACACATTCTGGTTTTCTTAAAATTGGTATGGTAGACAACAACAAATAAATTTATTTAGTGATTGGTTTATGTCATTGTTAATTTATTCTGGTACACTTCCTCACTTCAGTTCCGTTATTTTTGATTTTGAATAAGATATCAAGTGAACTCGATACTAGACTTAGAAGGCTTATCATTTTATTTTGCATTAAAGGCAGGGTAGCTTTAAGACAATGTAGGTTTAGAAGTTATTATGTGGTATAAAAGTTTTGACCTCTCTGGTACCGCATTTCAAGAAGAGGCTAGTGAGGAGCGGGTTGGCCTAGCGGGCTAACGCGTGTACACAGCATCGCTCGTTGCCTGGCAACCTGGATAGAAGATTATGTGATAATATAATACCGAGTTCGCGTCCCTATGCCAAGGGGGGCTTTTAACTCTGGCATTTATCTTCCGCTCTCACCCCTGGTCCGAGAAACCCTCGTATAGCCTAAAAGGCAAGGAAAGGGAGAACAAAAGAAGAGGGTAGCATCTATATTTTTTTTGTTTTAAATGATATAGAGTATACCCATAAGATTCGCCGAGTCATATCTCATTGTTCCTCAATAATCCTTCCTGAAAGAGGATGTGGATAGATACTCCTACTTCTAAGACCTTCTGACAACAGAGCCATCCTCTAGATCGTCGCCAACTTGGTCTTTGGCTGATGCGTTCTAAGCTAAGGTATAGGTACGTTATAGTAGCAACAATAAAATCTTTTTAAGTAGCCAGCGTTGCTGTATATACGGGGCCTCAATTAAGTGACCCCAATGAAGCAAACAATTGCATTAAGAGCTAAGATCACTCTAAATTTTTTAAATGAAATTTCTTTCTTCATCGTACTTCTAAACTAGAATATGTCCCTACTTATTGGAAATGGCTACTTCAAGGGATCTTATCTTATCTCACAATACTACTCTCTATAATGCAATAGCATCTCCTTCACTACTACCGCAAGTACATAATTGTTTTTTGTTTTTTTTCAAATATATCCATCTTAGCCATATTCGTTCAAGAATATTTTAACTCAATCATATCAAATCTATAAATCAGTCCCGTATCCTACGTTCTTCCTGCCATTAAACCCGTTTTGATGACAACTGTGATTATCTACTTACTTATGGAATTTTATTCCATCCCGTAATGTTCCCTCACTATGTGTAAATTATTTTCGTATTATATCTCATTCATACCCCACTCCTCTTCCTCTCCACGTGTCATAGTTTCCTTTTGTCCTGAATCATAATAAATATTTGTAAATAATATTTAAATTGGATTTATTATTATTTTGCTTATTTAGGTAATTTTTTATGTTTATTTGTTTATAATTAAATGAAGAAAATTCTCGTCAGCCTTTTTGGGTCAATGTTTCATTTCTGTAAGTTGCTAATCAGGGATTGTTACGGGATGCATAAATCTAATTTTCATTTCATATTCCTTCCACACTTAAATAACTTTTATCATTCTGATCAAACTTTATTCTACATAAAAACAAAACAAAAACAGAATATGAATGATCTATTTCGTTTTTTATAATATTTAATAAGACCAGGATGCTTTGTATTAAGCATAATAATGTATAAAAGTGACTTATCATTACTACTTATCACTACATATTAAGTAAATAAAAAGTGATTGGTACTTAATTCATTTTTGTAAACCACCCTTGTTAGACGAAGAACCTTCACTATGCATAGGCTAATGAATCCCTTTGATTGGGTACCTTGGCTCATTGTGAAGGAAAGCCTATGAGGAAAATACATGAACTTAATGAGAGTTGCAGTCCCTTCGTTTGCATCCGTAGCGGACCTCTGCCCCCTGAATGGTTGATGACCAGTTAATAACGGTCACTAAGAAGCGACGAATATCGGAATTGCAGATGGACCCGCGCTGACCATGGCCTCAATAATTCAGCCCAGTCCGGCTAAGTCCCAAGTTGCAACCGCACCATTAACGGACGAAATGCAGAGCGATGAAGCACTGATGGAGGCTAAGTGTAATTATCCGGTGTGCTACTAAGTTGGGGACCACTTACCCGGCTACTGAATAATAAAATAAAGAGCAGGCTCGTACATATTTAATAAGGGTTAATAAGTAGTATGGGGTGGCCTCTCCCTCTCTCTCTCTCTCTCTCCTAACCGAGTTAGTCGCCACCAACCCGAATCACAGGCCATTAATATTCAATTCTAATTTTCGAGTCTCTATTCCAGATAAGAGAGAGGGAATTGATAAATGATATTTCCTAAGGGTTCAACTATTCTCGTGTTTTTTACCTCATAATTTCCACGTTTCTAGATTTAAAAAAAAGAAGAAAAAAATATTTTTTTCTTATCCTCATATCTATAAGATTTGACAAAAGATAAGAAAATTAACTATTTGCGTGTTTCAAATCGCCTTTGACGGTGGACCGGATGTTTCAAGAGAAGGTTTCCGTTAAACCTGAGTCATAGCTTCAACGTTTTTTCCTTCGTTATTTTAAAGCCTGTTTGATTATTTTTTGTTGTTGTTTTTAATGATCTATACGACTATATTTTTCTTATCAATCATAATTAATTGGGGGCACACGATTACTTCATTATTTTGCTAATGTGCTTCACATTAAAAATATTTTCTATACTTGAAAAGGAACAGACGTTTGAAAAGAAGATTTCAAGAAGCCCTAAGATCTCTGGATTAATAATCACAAGATATCTTCATGTCTTCTGATTATAACTCCAGCAGTCTAAAAAAGAATATCACATAGAGATATTAGATCACTGCATCCCAGTTCAAACTATAAAAAGGATTAAAATGGCACAACTACATGTTTCATTCAAAATAATAACCTAAATTAGGTATACAAATTAAAATAAATGTAGTTTTTTTCCTACATATTCCTGAATTTGTTGATTTAATAACAAACTTCATCTGCGAAGTCTACATCTTTGAGTTTTTCCGTGAACCTTCTCCTATTTTTCTACCAAAAACTCTCCTTAAAATAATGTCGTGTACCATCAGGAATGTGATAGGAAAAATCTTCGATATTATTAACCATAAATGACATACTTTTTGACTTTGGCGTAAATTAAGTTTCTTTTTCTTCATTATTTGTTTTCTGATGTTCATGTTCATAACCTTTAATAATAATCCAATAGCTTTAGTGTTTTATTTTTAGTTTCTAGTTCATTTCGTCGTAAGATTACTATTTCCTGTCCTTTAGCATGCTTATCCCTGTTGAACAAATCCGTCTCCCAGGACTCCATTTCTGCAAACGTCTTGGAATCCGCGTACAAGACTGACAACAAGAAACTACTCGACGTTTCCGGCTACTCCAACACTTACTAGACAATCGCTTTAAGCTTTCAATTAATTGCAAAAGACTCATTTACATGACTATAAGAAGGACTTATGTAGTTGAGCTATGGGTCTCCTCTAAATCATTGAAATTCTATCGCATTCAAGTATTACATTCCAAAATCCTTAATGCTCCTTATTTTGTCACAAATTAAATTAAATTAAACACCTTTTATCTTCCATATTGTTTGACTCGATCCACTTGTTTCCAGATTTGCTTCCTCCTCGATTACTAATAATTCTCCAAGGCGTCTGAAAATAATATGGCCTCAGAATCTTCTATTTTTGAACTATTTAGAGAGTGGGAGTGCTATTAGGTAGTATCTTGACAAGTCTTTTCATATTATTATCCTTGATTGTTCACATTTACCTGTTGTATTTCTGTATACAGGAGGTGAAGAATACCATGTCCATTTTTGTGTTTGTTCAGGGGAGCCAATTTTCCATAAAATTTGAATTATTAAAATGTGTTTCTTAGTTACTAAGTTATTTAATGTAAAGTAACCCATTACCGCTAGGGTACAAAGTTTTTTAAATATAGTTGTAAATTTCAATAAATAAAAAACAAATTAAATAAACAATATAGTTCTTCCTGCCATCTTTAATCTTCATCACTATCTATGAATTTTTCTTGTGCCCCGATGAATGACAGATATAGGGATTTATTTTTGTCTCAATATAGATTAATCTGAGCTTCAGGAAGACGAAAACAAAAAGACAATGTTTCATATCTGACATTCGAAAGTGTCACTTCCTCCAATCGAGATAATCTCGATGTCAGATTTTGCGCCATAAATCCCCTCAACGTCAAAGGTATTGCAACATCTCCCAGCCGGCGATAATTAGAAGATTTTAACACGGAGGGAAGATGGATGGCCACAATACAAGACAGCCGGGGACGGATGGGTGGATGGGAGGATGAGAGGAGGACTGGAAAGGTTCTGCAATGGTTTGGAAGTGGGAGTAATTAGTTAAGTTGGAGAGCCGTGGAGCTGTCAATAGGGCCTCCCAGATAAGGCAGGTTATTTATCTTGAACAAAATAGGCCATTAGGATATTGTTTAGGCCGAGGGGTTATTACAATATAATAATTAATCGCTCTCTTCAAACTAATTAACTTTTCCAATTACCCAGCCTTCCCTTTACGACAATATTAACATCTGATAGCGGCCCTAGGGCCCTACCTCCCACACTCAGTTCCGCATCGTTTTATACTCGTTATTCTTTATCTAAATGGGATTCGTATTTCCCCCACCCAATTTATCCTAAGCGCAATCTTCTCTCTCTATATATTACTTAGCCTATTAATAAAGCATTCCTTTATGTATAGAGCATACCTTTTACTACGGTCTTCTCTGCCTCTGATTAATTCGGTTAATTATTTAACATTACTTAAATCAATTTCATAATTAATAACATGTGATAAACACAATTAAATTAATTAATATATGTTAAAATATTATATATTAACGGCAAAGATACTTTATTAGAAGCCAGCCGTTGCGACTAATGTTTGCCATTAAGTCCTCTTAGATTTTTATATATTTCATAATTATGTTACAAAAATATTTTTTAAAATGTACTGTTTTCCTATAGATGCCTGTTTTGATAAAAATTTGGATGATTTAATAATAAATTGATGGTACAACTGAGACTGTTAAGGCCTACATTACGTCTTTAATAAATTTATCAATTAATACAGGAAATCAACAGAAAGGTGATGTAATTCTTCTTTTTACATTTTTTTCGATGTCATATTCATAATGTCATATCTATATTATGGCTAAAATAAATATTTACTAAAAATATAATTTACTCTAAAAAAATACTAAGCAACAAAATGGCACACTGACACGTCAGAAATGGGTCACTTCATAGACCAGCATTATATAAAGTTTTTGTATTTTGTTTACAAAATTATGGAATTTAGTGCTATATTTTGATTTTAGTTGATGCATGAATTAACAATTTGCTGTAAATAAATAAAAAAAGAAAAGAAATATAAAAATTATAATTAATTATTGCAGGAAGTTAGCCGACTGTTCTACATATTCTTGGGTGATAAATAGTCAGGACGTAGTCATTGTGAATATTTATCATCCACGAAAAAAAAAGTTGTAATATCTTATTTTTGCTCCTACCATTTAGTCTATAATTCTTCTGTCTTCTAATTCATTGAAAGAGGTTAAAATTATAAACTAATTCATTTCACCTGTATACGAAACCTTCGCAGTACGAGTAGTTATCCTTACTTACTAGCTGACGGAAATAATCCTCTGTGATGATGTAGGGCCCACTCTCCCTCATTAGTTTGGCCCGTACTGTTTCAAAAGAGATTTAATTTAATATTCCAGGATTATGAGTAAGTATTTTTGTCATATAATGAAGTAGTGAATTGTTATGAAAGATGAGTAGCTATCAACTGCTTGTTATCAGTAACGGCTTATCACCCATTGCTACGTATACATATTGTGCTAGATGTACCAATCAGCAAATATTGACGAGTGGTTGGTGTTTTCTCTAATCATTTCAACCGTAGTAATATTTAATTAACTAGGATCATAGAGTAGCCTAAATTCAAATGTAATATGACACTTTTTGATATTGTGATTTAGTTTTTTAATTAAATTGAGCTTAGTCGATTCCGAAAGTTCGTTATTGGGAAGAATAAACCAAATTATCGATTTTTATGATTTATTTTTCTTTTGGTAGAGAAATGAATAAGTACCTACAATATGAAGAATATATAGACAGATTATATTACTGTTTACATTTTTATGCACAAATAATTTTTTATTTCCGTCATACCTTTTTGCCTTTTCTGGATGATTTACTGTATATTTTGATAGTAGAAGGGATTTAAAGAGAAAACTTTCAGTTGGCTTTATAAACATTGTTGGAACTGTTTCGGCGCTACAATGACCAAGTCATTACTTAGTCCAAAATCCTACAAGATAAATAAAGAAACCACAAAATACATCAACTCTTTCAAGAGATAGTAGTGAATGGAAATGGTTTAATAGCAACATATATGTAAATTTTTATCTATTTGCAACTTTTTATGGCAGTACCTACCAAATGTTTTTTTTTTTTTTCCTTTACTGCATATATATTGCAGAAAAAAAATCTTGTCTGTCTATCACCTGGGGATATAATTGCTTTTAATTTAAAAAATATAAAAAAAATTAGTCATTTACGAGGTTTAGTTGTTATTGGAAATCATTAAAACAACTCAGGAAGTAGTCAATTTTTAAATGAACTGATTAAAAAACATCATTAATTTTACTCAATTAAATTTATTTAGTGTTCTATTAGTACATTATCTAGGGAAATAGTTGTATTTTTGGTAGCTTTGTCAATCTGTATGATGTTTTTCTAACCATCATAGTGCATGAGACCTCAATTAATAATTAATAACTATTGGCTAGGTGAGACATCATCATTCCAAAACCTAGCGAAATAACTGTGGCTACACAAAAATGAAAAATTGTCATTGTTGAATTTTATTTGGATCGATGAAGAATTATTCGGCTGGGAAATTTAAAAAGCTATCTACACAGAATATAGACCTGATAGATAAAATTGATGAGACATTTATTATGTAAAATTCTTCTCCCTTAAAATATCTTTTACCTAGTTCTTTGATTTGTAGTATGTATAAAAATTCATGTATAGTTTATTACTTTTTTCGATTCGGTGACATAGGAATGCTGTACTTGAAATATGATACTTCAGAATCGAGAAATGTGGGCACGGTCAGCTCCACCGGTATTACCCCTCCCCCCTCCAAAAAAGGAATACAAATAGGGAAGAAAAAGGATGGGAGACATTACAAAGAATGAGAGCAAAAAAATTAGAATTAGTGGAGTGGGTATGACGTATGGCAGTTAATCAAACGAGATAGGATCTATGGGATGGTTTATATATATATATATATGCTATATGCTAAAATACCGGTCCTCCGGGCTGGATCCTATGACAGGGAACAGTCATTACCGCGACCCCTCCTAGGGCTAATGGGACAAGGACGGAACGCGTAAAAGCTCGCGTACCGTTGCCGACCAGGGTATCCACTTAGCGGCTCCTCCAACCTGTTCTTGTGCTCTGTCTTCGGTCCGGGTCGTTCCACTGCGTTTTAATATCGTATCAGTCTGGAATATCGTATATCTCATCGCCCGTATGGTCCTACCCACGTTCTAGGTATCCGGTTCCTGTATGTCCAATTTTTGGAACAGAAGACACGAATCATCAAGAAATAACGTTATAACATTATTTATTTATAACGCAACAATATTTCGTTTCATTATGATGCAATTTCTTCCGATTTTTCTACTTAACTTCTATGAAAATTAATACAATTCAATAGGTATATAAAAGAGACTAATGTAACCGGATAAAAAATGCCTCATGTACAATTTCCATAATTCAAAGGACAAAAAGACAAAGCAATTCCTAGATAGACAGGACAAGCTATCTCTGATAGCTTAGAAATAATTATCTAGAAGACACTGAAGTTATAAATATAATATTTAATAATAATAATAATAAATGTAAAAAATTATGAAAATTATTGTAATAATCCTGATTTAAGCCACATTTAAAAAAAAAAAATGCAATACATAAACAACAAAAATAAATTGAGGAAAGAAATGATCCGATCCGATCATAAAAAACTTACAATAGTGAAAAACTATTTTATTTTAAGCCAACGTTTCGAGCTAACTATGCTGATCTTCCTCAGGGCTAGATCGCAATACGGGCTATACAACCAACTAATATTTTTCAGCTTTCCTATGGCTGCATTATAATGTACGACTGTCCGTCCATTCCGATGATTTGAGGAGTCAAGAAGTCTCAAGAAGATACATAAAAAAATCAATAATATGTCCATATATCCAAGTAACTAAAAAGAATTATATCGATATAAGTAATGTAAACTTTTTTTTGAATTATTGGAGTCTTAACAGCAAAATATGACTCACCGTTACTAAATTGGCGGGACGGGAAGAGTTTTGCCTCAAGTCAAATCTTCTCCTTGCACTTCTCAGGTGCATTCGCAAACGTAAAATAGTTTCCACGTTTGGTAAAATAGACATATTTCCCATGTTACTGCGTCTACAAGCAAAGTCCGTAATTTATATACGATAAAAATAAAGATTTCTGATAAAATATATGTTGATTAAATCACGATAACTGTGTCCTAGAGTAAGGGTAACCATGTTTCACTAAACTCTAAATAATTCTCATGCATCAAAATATACCTCCTTTCCTCTCCAAATCTACACAAGTTCTAAGAACTCTTTAGTCATCTACCGTCGTTGGTCATCTCGGTCAGTTATAAACTGAATGGCTTCAATAACATCAATATTAAAAGGAAGGGTCTCAACTAGGGGTGAGGGAGTGAGACCAAAGGGGACATAAGCCGCGGGTGGCAGGGTCAAGAGGGTGGCAAAGTTCGAGCGAAGTTTTTTCTAGCCTCAGTAAAAATATTTTTATTATTATTATTGAAATTTACAACTATATTAAATGATAAATACAACAAGTAAACATGAACAAGTAACATGACATTTACAACATGAAAAGAAACTACCCATTGGTAGCACTCCAATTATATTTCTGTATTAAAAGGTCCCGTGGACATCTTCTTTTTAGACGCCTCGGAGGGTTATCAGGAATAGAAGAGGAAGCAAGGTTGGAAACAAGATGGTTCGGATGGTTCAGAAGTTTATTATGGAAGGACAGGTATCTGGATTGAGCTAAATCGGAAACATATGGTACATTAAGATCATTATGGATGATTTTATTTGTGATAAAGTAAGGAGCATTGAGGATTTTCTGAAGGATTTTGGATTGTAAAGATTGGATACGAGAGGAATTCGATGGCTTAGTGGAGCCCCAAAGCTCAACTCCGTAAGTCCGAATAGGTCTTATTGTAGTCATGTATATAAGTCTTTTGTAATTAACTGGAAGCTTAGAGCGTTTGTCTAGTAAGTGTTGGAGTAGTCGGAAACGTCGAGCGGTTTCTTGTCGTTTCAGTCTGGTATGAGGATTCCAAGTTAGACGTTTGTCCAAGTGAAGTCCAAGGTATCGGATTTGTTCAACAGGGATAAGTGGGGTATTATTAAAGGATACTGTGGGACATGAGGTCATAGGTTTACGTCGAAGGGTAAAGGTGATTTGATGGGATTTATTTTAATCCTCCAGTTTTGACACCATTCTTCAAGGCTTGTGATGTGTGATTGAAGAGTTTGGGATGCAATGGTTGGGTCATTATTAACGGATAGGACACATGTATCATCGGCATACGTGGTAATAACAGTGTTAGGATGGGTTGGGATGTCAGCTGTATAAACTGTGTAAAGGATAGGACCAACGATACTACCTTGAGTCTGTTATGGGGGTTCCAAGTGAGTCGTTTGTCAAGGTCCTAGGTAGTGAGTCCTAGGTATCGGATTTGGTCAACAGGGATAAGTGGGGTATTGTTAAAGGATACTGTAGGACATGAAGTCATTGGTTTACGACGAAGACGAAAGACGACATAATTTGATGGGATTTATTGGAATTTATTTTAATCCTCACGTTATGACATCATTTTTCAAGACTTGTGATGTGTGATTGAAGAGTTTGGGATGCAATAGATGGATCGTTGTTAACTGATAGGATACACGTGTCATCGGCATAGGTAGTGATGACATTGTTGGGATGGGTTGAGATGTCAGCTGTATAAACTGTGTAAAGGATAGGACCTAGGATATTACCTTGAGGAACACCAGCAAACAGAAAAAAGAGGTGAAAATGCATTGTTATGATTTACTTTAAAACTTTGAAGAATCTGAAGTCAGTAAGGTAGGAACAGATAATGAGGAAGTGTGTAAGTGGTAGAAATTTACGGAGTGTGTACATCAGTCCCGGATGTCCGACTCTATCAAACGGCTTGAAATATTTGTTTCTGTTTTGTTTTTTTAATTCATAATTTAGCCATGTTATGAGATGATGATATTTATTTGCGAAATATATTACCTAAAACATTGTTAAAAAAAAAAAACTATAAAAAAGGAAAAATTAAGTTTACCCCTCCTTACAAAAATCGTAATTTCGGCCCAGTTAAACAATACGGAAATGCTGATTAGATTATTTATTATTTCTTAAAAGAACAATAAAAAATAATAATAAAGTAAATGTTGCTTAATAACATTAAAAAGCAAAGTGGACATTAAATCAACGACAAGGTGCCAATATCTGCTATGTACAAATTAAGTAAGGTAGTTAGAGTCTCCTCTAAGATCCTACCAACTTTTTATCAGCAATGAACGAACTCAACATTATATGACCGAAATTAGTCTAAAAATAATGCTGATATTGTGTTAGAAGGACGAATTAGTGTGAAAATGAGCCTAATGCATTATGAGGTGGTTTATACTTGAAAATTGCCATGGATGAATGAATAATTTTGTTGACCGTTGACCAAAAATAATTTAAATAATATGTAACAATATGCCACCAAAGATAAATACTTTATTTTTATATATAGCTAATATTGTTGATGTTGTTTACCCCACATTATCTTGTTATAATAAACTGCTACCTACAGATTTTCATACAATGATAATCTAGTGATAACGCGTCATTTTAATTCCATTTAGTGCCGTTTATATTAGTAGGCATAGATTCAACCAAATTATTTGGTTTGAGGTATTGGTAGTTCACCGTTGATGATCAATTACTTAAATTTTATAATAGAAAATTAAAACCATTGTTATTTTTTACAAATAGTAAATCATCATAACATATAGCTCATCTATTAACTATAGCAATAATTATAAATATATAAATAATTGTATAGACATCGGCAAAGTCATCATAATACATATTATAATGTAGTCCGAAATAATTATGGAATTTTTATATTTTAAAATAATTTAATCCAAAAACTACTGTAATAACCTTCTATAAACTATTATTATGCTATTTAAAACCTGTAATATATATATATATATATATATATATATATATATATATATATATATATGTATATTTTTTATTTATTTAGAAAGCGTAAAAAGATTATTGTAAATAGCATGTGGTTCTGTTTTAGAACACAATTAATTTTGCGGTCATTTAGTCGATCAGGATATGCCTAAATTTCATGCATGGTGTAAAGATAATTTTTCCCAGTTTTAAAGCTCTTTGTTCAAGAACGGTCATTCTCTTATTAAATGTTTTATGAAAAATGTTGAAATCATTAATAAATTAGTAGATACGAGTGTAAGGAAATCCCATATCTGCAAAAATGCACATTATGAATGAGTGAACGGAAGATTCCGTTTGCTTGTCCGAGGAGGAAATAATCGAGTAAATATGGGAATTTCGAATAATAACTTTTTAGTTTCAGAAGCACTCAAGTAAAATTGAAAAATATAAACTCCATGTTCGAATTAAAAAATAAAAAAATCCAATCAGAAAGTGCATCACGTTATTAATTCCCTACGGTACAGTTCAATAATAAAAAAAAATCTTAATGCATTTGATGGACCCATCACTACTAGGAATTAATATTCGAGATTGTTCATCTAATTTCAGGAATGAGTTGATACGCTGAGTTTAAATTAATAATGATTGATGACTTTTCGAAATTAGGAGTTTGATTTAATGACCAACCTTTTTAGATTTCGTCATTAAATCATTGAAGATTAGCCGAGGAGGGAGGAGGGGGAGGTAGATCAATGAAATATAGTTAATCCAATTAACTCCATCCATTATTCCTCTTAATAAGCTCTGCAAAAACCGTTTAATTAACATTCATTGATTGCCCCGATCTTTGTTCGTTTCTTCAATGATGTTAAAATGAGATTAGCTACGAAAAAAAAGAAAGAAAAAACTTGAGATTGACTTGTGGTTTTTTGCTGTCTATTAGTCATCGAATATGTTGCGTAATGTTATCAATACAGAAACATAGTTTTGATTACGTTAAAATAAAGACAGATTGAAGAAAATTTAGCATTTGTTGCGATAACTTGGAAAATCTCAACATACAACATATTTTTTACATTAAACAATAACTGGTCGATGTTTACAATGAGAAATTAATTTAAAAAATCCTAATTCTAACTAAATATTATCGTTTATTTGATTTTTACCACCAACAAGTATTTTTTATAGTACGTTTGATTTT